TTCCTCATGCATTCACCAGCTCGCTGCCTTCTGCTCTCTCACTTACTTATCGCTCACCCCCACAAACTGAAGTTTGTCGGCTGCAGTCCACTGGCTCGCACGAACGGGCACGAACAGACACCATCCAGAACGCTGCGTACACCCGGCTCGCTGTTCCCCGTTTGCGCCACCCTGGTGGGCGGCGCACACCTTGCGCGTCGTCATCTCCCTAATGCGCATCTCCCCCTCTCGCGTCCTCCGTGCTTCGTTCTCTTCCCTTCCCCGTGGGCGGCGTACGCCATGCGCGCGGTCCCCTCCCCAAGTCAAAACCCTCGCTTGTATAGCTGCCAGCCGAGCTGGCACCCGCACGGGCAGGCCCATGCCCGAAAAGGAAGGGGCACCGACGGCTGGCCCAGTACCAACTGCTGGCCCGGTACCAGCTGCTGGCCTGGACTACAGATCCAGGTCCAGTAATAGATCTTTGGTCTAGCACCAGTAGGACAAACAACAGGTCCATCAACTGCTCTTGTGGTGCAGACCCAGGCCTGGTACAGTTTTCATACCAGCAGTCCCCGCCCGCTGCAGTTCCAGTGTCAATGCAGGGCCAGTGGTAGCAGTACAGTCCGTTGCAGTCCCGGTACCTTAGGTATCCTTGGCCCAGTGGCTGTCCCATCCTCACAATCCGCAGTAGTCCGATCCAGGTTTGCACCTCCTGTTGAGACTCGGCCCCCAAGTACTAGCGAACTATGCTAATGAAAATTGTATCAATGCACCGTGCCAATGAACCGCACCAAGAACCCACGCAGACGAGCCGCATCCACGAACCGTACCTGCGCCAAACCCGTGACTGTCGTGGTCCCAAACCGGAGCCCATACCACGACGGTCAAGTGAGGCCCGATGAAGACTAGAAAAACCCTCACTTAGAAAAGCCCCGTATGAGCAGGCCTATTCACCGCAAATTAGCCAATCGCCGCACCCCGCTCTCCGCACTCTTAATTACATTAAAATAATAATATTAATAATAATAATATTAATAATCATAATAACGGTCACTCGCATTCAGGGCAACAGGAGTCATAAGCGGGGTAACAAAATAGCCTAAATTAGGACAAACATCGGGGGGAATACATAATAAGGAGAAAATAAAATGAAAATAAAGCATCATTCAAGATCGCGGGTTTGGAGTTTTTTTTCATCATTAATTATTTCGACCACGTTCTTAAATTTATTCATACAAATAATAAAAAAAAATATCCCGATTCGACCACGCAAAACCGATCGTGCGGAGACCCGCACACACGTCGGCGACCGGGTAAGGTGGGAATAGAAATAAGAGGAAAATAAGTCGATGGTAGGGGTGTCAAGGGTAGGATAAATTAGTATATTCATCTGCATAAAAGTAGGGTTAATGTCATCAAGAGACGAGGCGAAAAAACAGGGGTCGACCTCGGTACCCTGTTTTTTTACCGCTCGTCCCTTAACACTAACCCTCAAATTTCTACTGTCTGATCAATCGACTCCTCAAATTGTCTCATTTTAGGTAGCCGATTGACTTTGGCCGCCCGACACCGGCTCGCAGTGCAAGGGCGTACGACCCGTTAGAGTGCGTGTGTCGTATGCTGTCCTCTACCGTCTGCTCCCTTCATCGTCACTGTTCGGTGGACCTTCACCGTGATCGTGGAATTACGTCCCTGTCGTATGTGTCATTGATGGCTGACCTCTATTGAAGGTTGCCACTGCTGCTCCTAGTCACAATTTTGTTTGTCGTGGTCCTCCTGTTCCACGTGTGCATCCTCTATCGTTGATGACCAACCTCTATCAAAAGGCCTTCAGCAAAGAAGATGAGGGATCGACACCGACTGCAGTCGACATCGACATCGGCAGTGCGTCCCGCGGCCGTTGTCGCACTTTTTCTTAGTCGGGACTCTATAGGCGACCAAGAAAGCCAACTGGCTGTCACGCAGGGTTTGGTTGTTGATTGCAATAAATAAATAAATTAAATAATGCAAATCCCTTCCTGTTGTGTGCGTCCGGCTTCGAGCGAGACCCTTCCAGTGCGGTCTTCGCCGGTCCCCGGTCTTAGGAATCTTTTATTTTGATTCGGAACAGCAGAAAAAATCATGCAATTAATAATGATAAGATTGTGGGGTGCTATGCATGCATCAATTATGTTCAATCGGATTTTGCGAACTGTGACAGAATCTTTCACGAGACAATCATCAAGCAAAACGATGCAAGAAGCAAGACCGACTGACTCGAGCAAATGACAAGATCAAAAGAATGAGGGAAGAATGAGAACTCATAATAGTTTCAGGGAGTACATATGTAAGAGAGCATGGCCAACACCAATCAAGAGTCCTCACTCATCCCTCTGAACTTCACTATTTTCTCACTTTGTTGTTCGTCGTTTGGGCTTCTTGCCATGTCTCCGTGCTCTCTGAGGTTGTGGCTTCTGAATGTATAGCCACCTTAAGCCTACTAGTTCCAAACATTTCCAGCCAAGTCCCATGGTACGGAAGTCAAGCATGGCACAAAATTCCTAGTGTAGGGAGGTATGGCTGAGAGAAAACGCCCCTCAAAGGGTTCGGTCACTGCCTCATAGTCGATCACTGCCGGCGATATGTACCTCTTGGCCAAGTCCACCAATCCACCCCAATAAGAGTCCTCAGTGAGGTAGTAGGGGACCGGAGGCTTGGGGTAGCCAGTGAAAAGCTTAGGACCAAAGCTATAGACTAGCTTTGTATTCCCCTGGAGTCTCTCCACTTTCCACTGCACATACCCGGTTGTTGCTGCCCATACTGCATCAAAATGTGGATGAACCTCATTCCCTTTCTTTAGATAGATCCGAAGATCTTTGACCGTACCTTCTGCAAACTCTGTGAGAGCAATGAAGATTGACAGATCTTCACGCTTGAAACCATCGATTCTAACATATTTGTAGGGGAAACACTCTTTCAGGGCCAAACGGTTGAGGCTGTCGAGGACCGACTGACCAACTGTAATGGGGTTGATGTCTCTCATGGAAATGAAAATTGGTGGCTCTCCAGTAGAGGGGAAGCTGATTCTTACAGACAGGCGTTTGTTGTAGGTAAGGTTTGTTGTAGGTAAGGTCAACAACAAATCCGCTACGTGGGTAAACAGCCGCCGCATGGCTAACTCCTACATCCGTCGGAGCACTGACTGAGAGCCTATCAAATGTCTATTAACCGCTGATTAACTCCTGATTGAGAACTGGATATTACTGATTAGTTGTTGATGGAAAGAGACGAATGTTGCTGATTAACTGTTGCTTGATTGAAAAACTGGATGTTGTTGAGATTGTTGGTCGAGAACTAAACGCTGCTGAGATTACAGACTGAGGACTGAACATTTTTAAGATTGTTGACTCCGCACTGAGTCTGCACTGAGTTCACTGAGTTTGTACTGAGTTCACTGCAAAGCGGGCAACCCGGAATCTGCTTGGGCGTTGTTTGAGGCTGTTTGAATGCTGTGTCCGAATACTGATTCTCTGCTGAACAGAAAAGCTGATCGATTTGCTGATCAGAAAGTTGATCATTACTGATCAATCGTTGACTGAGAATTCCAAGTAACTTGGACAGTTAGATGCTGAATTGTAGACAAACAATGATACTAGCCGACTTCTCGGCTATCTGATGCTTCTGCTTGATGAATGATTGACTGGGTGTTGTCCGAGCACTGTCTGAGTGAGTGTGGTTACACTGAGCTACCAATTTTGTTGAATCGCGTGGCATAGTGCAACAGGGAAGACTGCAGACTGTTTGCTGAGTGTTCGCCGCCTCAGATACTGGCTAAATCGCAGTGAAAGTAATTCAGATGACACGGAACTCAGGCGAGTTTTGCTCTGGCCTGTTCCACCGTTTCCAGTGAGGATCCAATGATATGCAATTTGTCGTCATATGTAGAAATAAATTACATACTCGATGTACTTTTCCCCTTCTACCCTTCGAACTGCATGTTCACGTTGATTTTCTTTATTAATTTCCATATCCAGGCTCTTTCCTCCCATCCCTCTTGTTTGTCTCTGTCTACTCTGCCCTTCACAACGAAAACTTCCCCCTTTTTCATGACTCTTCTCTCCCAAATCACGTGGTAACCTTCTGCATTCCAGATGGCACGCCACTCTTAGGGTCGGGAGGGTTGGATCTGATTAGAATATCTAGTGATTGTTGAGAGCCTCTGAACAAATTGCATACTGCCACTTATCAGGAAGTTGAGGTAAAGGGGAAAACTGACTAGCTCGATGTGATTCAATTGAGTATTCTGCGAGGCCCTGCCGAATAATTCAGGTACTTTTTTCATGAGTAAATGCCGATGCACAGAGTTGTTTAACGTGGGGGGAAAGGTCACAACGGCGAGAAGAACCTATCCCTCTTGAGATTGCTCGAACAGGTTTTCGAAGCTCATCCGATTTCCGTCTGACCTCATGATCCGTGGCTGGTTGGTGAAAAAGCGAGAATGACAGGGCTCTAATGAGTTTTAACTGAAAGGTCTTCAAATAATTCGCGTGTCAAACTGCTGATTGGGCCCTTATTGGATGCTGAGAATCACTTTCAAACCCCGAGCAGCTCAAAAGCTTGACTAAACGTAGGAGCAAGCATACAACGTCAAACTGGTTTCGAAGTGAAAGGTAAAGTGACTGTGACAGTTTACCCTGCTTAGAGCTCCCAGATAATTTCTCAGGTATCATCAAATCACAATACTAATTACTCCATTAAGGCGTTGAGTGCCACTCACCTACCGCAAAGTATTGAGGGTTTTGCTTGCTTGATAATACTCAACAGATCGGCTCACTCAACGGTGTGATGGCAAGTATAGAGACAACAAGGGATCAAATGTTGCCTCACTGATCTGCGAATCTTTGGGGAAAGGGGGTTCAAGTACGTTTGCGCTTTCTCAAAATCTGACCTGAGTTGTACATCCGTCTCCAAGAGTAAGCAGGTCTATCAGATAGCTAGATTTTATCAAGACAATAGCTCAGTCTTACTAATTACCGACTTTCCAGAGCTTGGGCGCAGTCTGATCAATATCTCCCGTCAATTTCCAGAATACACCCCTGATCCCCTTGACCGCCCTCGGCTAAAATAACCGAGTTGGTTGTCACCTCTCTAACGACACTGATACGCTATACTTAGCTAGCATTTTGTTTTTTTACAACAAGGCGTGTTTCCTTTTCATCTTCTTTTGATGGCACAACGTTTTATGGTTTCTCAAACTGTACTTCAGCGCTTGCTTCCTTGACTCTTCAGAAGTGGTAATCAAGCGCGTTCAATTTCTCAACTCAGTGACTATACAGTGCGGAGCATGACTACCAACAGCAACCGAAGCCTCTTAAACCCACTTCATGGATGACATAAGGCCACTCTCATCACGTTACCTGTCCCGTTAAGCGTGACTGAGTTCAATTTCCCACGCCAGGCAAAGAAACGAAACACGGACCATAACTAGCCCAGGGAACCATATAATGGGAAAGAATAGGAACAGAGTGCAATGCCAAGATAAGAGAGGTCTGATCTTGAAACAGTAATGTTCAGAAAATTATATCTTCTGATACCTTGCTTCTAAGACGCGTGAAAACTCATTAGCTTTGCTTTTGACTACCTTCTCTCCCTGCAAAACATCTCAGAGTAACCTGAGATCAATCACCATCAAGCAGATATTTGGCTAGCAGGTAGGCGATCCTTACTAGGACAGACCACCTTCGACTCATTGATCATGACAATGGAAGGGTACCAGAAGGAAAGTCCAACAAGGTTCCCAAATGAGCAGTTGACAAGAAAGCGGGAAAAGAAAAGAAGAAAGAAAAGGAAGTGAAAACGAGATTAACATTTGGACTTTACTTATCTGGCTGGCTTAAATGAGGATAATCCAGCTTTACTGATACAACACCAAGTTCAAACTCAAACCCTTCACGAGACTGTCATCCCGCTTTACTCCGTCTTTCATCAGGGAAGTCGAACTACTCCCCTGAGAGCATTTCCCTGGCCAGGACCCAGCCTGTCTCACCCAATGGTCGTAAACACCTCGGATTTGATACAAGCAGCGATCATGCGTGGTTCAGAGTACTTTGCCAAGGCACCCCACCCAACTTATCCTAGTTCATTTTTCTTACCCAATATCAGCATAGCCGCTAAGCGTAAACGGCTGAGTCCTGTCACAAAGTTTACGGGTACAACTGTGATCAACCTCTATCATGTCATGAGCGTATGGAACAACGAAAAAAATCAGAGAACCGCACACGCGACGTGACTCAGGGACAGCGAAGGATAACTGTTTAGCAAATGGAAATTCTAATGAAGAGAAAACGACCCCAAAGCAACCTGTCCTTTGATTACATGACTGGGGTGGACTGCCACAGAATAGCCCGCTTGTTACCGGCCTCTCTTGACGACCCCGCTCGTCAGGTGCGTATCACTCTTTGATCTTGCGTGCAGCCATCCTCCTTCTAGTTTAGGCGCCAAAACTGGTTCGTTATTACGTTGATCGCGTACTATCCGTTCAAAGCATGAAGCGATGAATCCCACTTCTCTCTCATATCCTGCAGGTGTCTCACATATCACCCAGATTGACTTGCTTTGTGCACGTCTCTCAACAGATTTCCGCCTCACATGTCAGATCTTGGCAGAGGCACGTCATGCACAGTAATTGCGCGCTCTAAACTTGAAACTGCCTTTGCGTATCAGCACGGTCAATGTCAGCAGTAATCAACAAACACGTCCTTTGTTTCTCCTCTCAGGCACATCCCTCGCCAAAAGGAAACCGGTTGACATCAGCATACCAAGTACACACACTGCACTTGCCTCTCTCAGTCTAGTCTCTTCTCATGTAAGTCGTTCGTCACGCCCCTGCTAAGCGCCGACCTAGTATCATTCGCCCTTTTCCACTTCTCCGATCATGATTGACTTTCTTCTTTACACTAAGTCTCATGCATACCTCTTCGTGTGTCTCCCTCGTGCCCTTCAGCCCACGTAGGGACCAGCACTACCTCTCACTAGTCACCCCTAAGCCGGCTAATGGCTGCAGTCCACGCACAAAAATGAAGAGTTGTTGATCTGTCCGAGACGAGGAAGGAGTAGTACTCGACACGTAGCAAGAGGACCAAGTCGCAAACCCCATGGCACCTCGCAGATTATTCTCCCCCCTTTAAGGCCATTGATCTCCCATTCTAACGAGACCTCTTCCACCTCCTCTTTTACTACTGCTGGTGCGAGAACGTCGCGCGAGCGTGGGGAACAGCGGTTGACGTCAGTCGTGCAAGCTCGCGTCTGGTTCGTTCGCCCAGTCTCCCCTTTCGTTGACCTCCCCTCGCTCTCCCCGCTGCCACACGTGTCGTGCGTGTCCTCTCCCTGTCTGTTCTTCTCACGCACCTTTTTTTGTCCCGCAGCCTCTGGGCGTCCATTGTCGAGAGTTGGCCTCGGGTCCCTCTTCCACCGGCTTCGCAGCTCGGTGGTACCTCTGGATCTCGCCTGGTCTATTCCAGGACCTGAGGTCCGTTTCCCGATCTCCAGCTTCGCTCATCTCGCTCTCACCACCTGAGTCCCTGTCCAGGTGGGCTTGTTCTAGGTCCGCTGTGTCCATTGAGGTCTCGCTCCTGTAGCTTCCCATCAGTCCGCATCTCCACCTCTTTTCCTCCCTCCACGTTGATTCTCAGTCTTAGCTCGTCTCCCCCGTCGTAGTTGAGTATCGTCGTGATCCAGGGCCCCTCCCCGGACATGGGCTTCCACCGAATCTGGTGGTACCAGTAGCAGGGCCTATACCCATGCAACGCCATAGCCACTCAGAGATAGCCACAGACCCACCCCTGGGTGCACGCACTCAAATGGCCCAGGCTACCCCTCACCTCTCCACGCTCAGCCCTCAGACCAGCAACACTAACGTGGCAGGATAGTTCACAGGCACCTTGCTCACCCCCTGGCAGCAAGCCTCTGCTGTCTTTTATAGACCTGCCTCATACCGAGTTACCTGCGTTCTAAGCGAGGGGCGGGCTCGTAGTACCGTTTTGAGAATAATGGAATAATTAAAATTGAAATTCTATACGAAAGGAAACCCAGGCAAAAGACAGCACTTACGATAGCAGAACAGCCCTCCTACTATTGGTCCCTGTCACTTCTTCTCACTGCTAGGCGATTACGATTTCAAGGCGGTGGTCCCATAACGGAACACCGACGATCACATTCCCCTTTTCAAAACATAGCGTCGGCCTATTCCTGACGGGTACCCGTGTCCGATGGCAAGGAGGGGGCTTATGACCCTTCATGAGGGGGGTGATAAGCCTCCTACCGATGCGGCCGCGGGTCGCCCCTCTTTTGGGGTCCTACAACGCGGCGCTCATTCGGAGCTCATTCAAAGACGAGATGCCTGGAATCGGCCAACTTAGGTCGTGGACCACAGAGCCTGAAATTCGAACCGTTGGCTTTCCCGCGAAATGACCGAAAATGAAAGGGAAAGCCGCACCCGAAAGACCAGAAATGTAATAATAATAATAAGAATAAGAATAAGAATAATAAGAACAATAACTGCAGAAAGAAAAAGGATGGTGCTTCAGATTTCCTCCCCGCCACAGCTCCGCCTAAATAGCGGTACAAGTCCAAGCACGAATCTAAAACCCAACTTTCGCCTCATCCCTTTTCTTTTCTTTTTCACACACCCACCTTTCCAGACCCCAATGTATCTGTCCTCTAACGCAGCTACAGGGGTCCTACCGTGTGGAGCTTAGATGCGCAAACCCGATATAGGTGATATACGAAGGGTTGGGCCTGCCTAGGCCACAATACCATAGCCCGAACTCGAAACCCGAACCGTTGGCCTCCCTACGAAGTGACGGGACCCAAGAAAAGGGAAATCCTCGCCTTAAAACTGGTAAGTCAGTAATAATAATTGTAATAACAATAATAATAGTAAAAGAAAAAAGGAAAATCCAATCGATGTAGCGAGCAACCATCGCTGGGTTATTCCAAATTAAAGCAATGGTCTTGATCCTCGAGTTGATCAGGCGTTCTGCCTTCTTTTCTTTTGTTTTTTTATTTTCTTATTCTCCTTCTGCCCCTCTGCTCAGTTTTTCCCTTCCGACAGCAACTTGTTTTCGTGCACCTAACCCATAACTCTGTACAGGGGCGCTTGGCGTGCAGTTGAAAAGACTGAGCTAGTCTTCTCACCTCCACATCCCAGGGCGAACCCGACGGCTACCACGGCCACAGGCCGGTTGTGCTCTGTTGTGCTGTACAGCAGGGCGCCGAGCCTGCGTGGACCAATGGAAATCCCTGTGGCGCACCCTTTTTGCTAAGGGCATGCACCAACAGGAGCGGTCCACACCAGGGTACAGCCCGGGCTCCAAGGATCGTGGAGATCACTACTCGCTGCAATACCAGAGCAAGAGACCGGTACCAGGCAGGGACTTGGTACACAGAGGAGGGCCGGGACACCGCGCCCTCCGACAGCGTTCGTCCACACTGGATGCAATCGCCAGCGCCCGAAAGACATGTGGCAACATATGCAACTTCTCCCGATACTCCTCCCTCGCATCATCGCATTGCCTAAGATCCACCCACGCCCCCCCTGTCCTCCTTTTCATCCACCACCTCGGCGTCACTCATGGAAGAACACTGCAACCCATGGCGCAGCAAACCTGAACTACAGCCTCGGTGATCGCCACCGTATCCAGCCCTTTGACCGGGACTTGATGAAACATCTTCCTCCTCCGCCCACTCTCATTCTGCCCAATGCCCTCTCCAACTGACAACGAAAGAGCACGGCCGTCACGGTCGTCTTCTCGATCATCGTCAACTCCACACGTCCCTCATCGCTGCCGCCCTCCATCGGCACGTGTGTTGCAATGCTCATGAACCACAAAAATACAACAGCCTACCAACTCGCCACGACCGCGGTAACCTCAGCACCAAGTCACCAACGACGTTCCCCACGTGTGCTCAACTCCACACATACGAGCAGCGGCAGGAGGAGGTGATGGCGATGGACCAAGGCATTGCCCAGCTATAATATTAAGAAAATGGCCGCCGGGGCCCAAAAGGAATCATCCTTGGGAGACCACCCCAAGATAGGTGGAACGACGGTGGGAATTTCCTTCAAAACCCGAAGGAAACTACCTTCGGCCCCGAGGACGCCCCAAGGAGTGTCTAACAAGCCCCTTATTCCATTTTATTCGTCTTCGTCGTGTGGTGTGATGTTTGTTCTCCCAGCATCTCTTTTCATCGTCACCATGTAATTGCATGGCTTGTAGCTTGCCGTTGCGACTGTGTGCTCCGTGCTCATACTCTTCTTTCAAATGGAATAAGCTCCTGCTCCTAAAATTGTTCATCCCGTCCTCATGGACATCCGTTACAATGATTGGAACGGTACAGAAAAGATTCATTTTAGAAACACAAGTCCGGCAGTGTCACATTTTCAGTTTCAAGAGCATCAAAACAATCTGCAACAGAATGGGGTGCGGAGTTTGAAAAGGGCGAGATCGATCAAAATGGCAGGCCATGGCTGTGGCCCCCGTGTGATTTTGTTGCCATTTCAAAACTCAGCGCGCGAGTTCGTTGCCCTTTTGGCGTGAGTTCTGTTGCCCTTTCGAACTCTATGCGCGAGTTTGTTGCCTGTGCGTGATTTTGTTGGCCTCGTTTGTCCCACAATCAAACTTAACCCTTCATTTTATAAGAATCCTCCTTGCGCAGGGGCCATGCTACTCTTCTCTCTATATTGTTCCAATTATCCTTTTGACGCCTGCTAATGTTGGCAACGGCTGTAGCCAACATTAGCAATGTCACTTTGAACTGCAAGTCCACACACGATATTAAGAATCGAATCCATCATTCTTCAAAATGCAACTCCAAAGGAGTTTATCACGACTCCTATAATTAGGGCAGACCCACAGTAGGCACTCAAAATCGCAAAATCAGCGGCCAGATCCAGGCCTCCTAATCGAAGAACTTGATCTGGCCGCTCATTTTGTTATTCTGTGATTTTGAGAACCTAGACTGAGTATACTCTTAGAGCCTGTCTCTTATACACATCTAGATGTGTATAAGAGACAGTATCACGACTCCTATAATTAGGGCAGACCCACAGTAGGCACTCAAAATCGCAAAATCAGCGGCCAGATCCAGGCCTCCTAATCGAAGAACTTGATCTGGCCGCTTATTTTGCCACTCTTATTTCGCTATTCTGTGATTGGAGAGCCTAGTGTCAGTATACTCCCACTGTGAGCATGAACACGGCCAGATCCAGGCCCCCTAATCGAACAACTCGATCTGGCCGCTTATTTTGCCACTCTTATTTTGCTATTCCGTGATTTGGAGAGCCTAGTGTCAGTGTACTCCCACTGTGAGCATGAACACCAGACAAACTATCCTTTGCAATTTTGACTGTGATCACGAATACCAGACGAACTAGTAGGGCAAATTGCAGAAATACCTGTTTGTAAACGTATCCTAGCAACTTTTAACTTTAGGGGTTGGCGCATGTATGGTGATGGAGACATCCAAACACGTTTGCGAGCAGCCCAGCCTCTTTTGAGATCTATGGTGACAAACAAACACGTTTGCGAGCAGCCCAGCCTCTTTTGAGACTTGTCTATGCAGAAATACCCGTCCGTGACGTTTCAGTGCCAAATGTACTGCGGGGTACCTGCTTTTGCAACAGAGGCCCCATGGGCCTTGGAGCCCTTGCCTCAGCCCAGGCTGACGGGTCCCCTGTTACGAAAGCACACAGAAACCTTCCAAAAACGGTATATTTGCCACCGTGCTGGTGCAGACCAGTAAAGTTGCTAGCATACGTTTACAAACCGTTATTTCTGCAATTTGCCCCACGAAGTATCCTTTAAGCAATTTTAACAGCGAGAACGAAAACCAGACCTTTTTTTTTTTTTTTTTTTTTTTTTTT